CTCCCCTGCTTGTCATCCACCCACAAGACTGTCTTCTCTAGCCGTAAGCCAGAAGGCAGGAAGATCTGGCACACTCTGGAAATCTTGTTCTGGAAGTGCTCACAGCATCACTTGAAAGCTCGAAAAACAGAAAATGGCAAAGTCTGTCCCAAGAACAGCTCCTGGACCCCACAGACAACAAAGACATTGCTTTGGCTCTGTTTCCCGGAAGGTCAATCAGATTTAACATGTTCCAGTCCCATCCTGGCCCAAAGACAAGCAGCTGGGCAAGACTTTGAGGTGTTACAGAGGGAACATCTTACCTCCTGGATGTACGTGATATCCCACACCCTCAGCTCACTGTCAGCACTCCCAGTGATCAGACGCTTCTCTTCGGATATCAAAGCCATCCCCCAAACCTGTCCAGAGGCACAACGTGAGGAATTGGCTTATTAACTATCATAACAACAGCAGAGCATCTTTAATTCATTTATTTAAATGGCAACCAAAAAGAGACTGGATCTAGCCGAGACCCCGTCCCGGGATATCTGTATTGGAATTGTCACACACTGCATGTTGACACCAGCTCCTGAAAAGTTTGCAAGTATCTCGTTTGCTTATTCCTAAAGCCTAATGACAAGCAAAATGTATCCCGGTGCCAGCTCACAACTCCTGAGAGCCGGGAATGTGTAAAATGACACACAATCCAAAGTCCCTCCACCCAACAGCTCCCCACACCTCCTTTTTACCTCTGTACGGTGTCCAACCAGAGTTTTGAAGCAGTGCTGGGTGTCCAGATCCCACCATTTCACCAAGGTGTCTTTGCCACTGGAACAAAGAAGAAAACTCAAGACATGAGGAAAGATTGCTGGAGCTCACATGCTGAGAAAGGTGGTAGAAATACAAAAAAAAAAATCTAAAACATGCCACCATGAATCACAGAGCAGCTGCACGGACACTGAATTTCCCAAGCTACGCAAGAACACAGTGTAGCAACACAAAGGTCCTGCAAAAAGGCATCTGGCAAGTCACTGAGAACTGCCTCCTCCTCTGGTTTCAGCCGCCAGCCCCAGCGTCACACAGCCTCCTTTCTGCCTTATTTCGGGTGAGAACAATGCTCAGCGTGAGAATCACGGAATGGTTTGGGCAGGAAGGGACCTCGAAGATCATCTGGGTCGGCCACCAGTACTTGTAAATTGGACGTATGAAAACGTCACCAAAAATTCTCTACACAAAGGTCTGCAGTCAGCTGCTTGGACAAAAAAAAACCCCACAATTTAAAGGATGGAAAACTTTGCATCTGTGGAAAAACAGGATAACATCTCTACTCTGTTAATAAAATAAAAAGAGAGAGGAACTCTTTATCTCCATTTAGCTACTGAGAGAAGAAAGAAGCGTTTCTAAAGCTCATCTGCAAAGACTTGAAATTGCATTAAGAAACAGGCACCATCTACCAAACCAACAAAATACCACTTGTTCCATCTGAAACAAAAAAAAGCACAAGAAACCTGTTCTAATTTTACACCGACTGATTGCATGCACTTCTCTATTAAGCTATTAGATGACATTTTAATAAATAAATTATTGACTGACATTTGAGCACGAGTATCTTCTGTCAACCGTTTCTTATTAAAGGGAAACAGTCAACAAGCCTAAAAAACAACTCAAAAAACCATCTACCATCTTTTAATTAATTCCTATAATTACAGCTTACTAGGAAGCAATTTTTCTGTCACCTTGCTGCATGAATTACACACACAGAAGGTAAATCTGCTTAAGATAAACAGAAAAAACAGTTACACATATAATGACCATATTATCAACACTCCTTGTCACGATAATTCCAAGTTGCTGTATTTACCAGCAAGCTGAGCCCTTTTCCAAACAGCACTTTTCAGGACAGCCATTTCAGTTCCACTTACCACATCTGGGTTCAGGCACTGGAGTTAAGAAGCATGCGGACATGACAAAATTATATTCTAAGATGCTGGTGGGTCTGAGATATCAGAGTGGAGAGGGGAAATACGGATGACTGTGGCACCTAGGATGTCCAAACTGCAAGTCCAACCATGGCTGCTCTCCCAATCGACCACAACACCGAGCCCAGCTCACCTGGTAACCAACAAGTTCTTCTCCTTCAAGAAAAGGACTTGAGTGACAGCGTCCTTGTGTCCTTTTAGCCGGTACAGACCACTCTCATTGATGACATCCCACACGATGACATCTGTATCCTGGAACAGACAGAGTGTCTCCAAGGGACTGGCATTTGTCCCCGCAAAACATCCACATTTGCTGTGAGACTGAAGAGATTTCCTGAGAGCAGCTTCCTCCCTCCGAGTTGGAACATCAGGGGTGAGTAACGCAAGTGGCACTCCTTCCCCAGAGGTGAAGGAATTATCCCCCAATAAACGTCCCTCTGCCTCAGGTTGAGTCGCTTTTGCTATTCCTGACCTCACAAGCTTCTTCACCTTCCACAGCTCTACTGGTGCCCCACTCCTGCCCTGCACCCCTGCTGCTCTCCCAGCCCCATCGCTGTCGTGCAGCCCTCACCGCCATCCCCCGGCTATATGCTGCGGCCACGTGACCCACTTAATACCACACATTTTGGTGCAGGTCAGCCTTCTCCATGGACCACCTCTATGAGAGGACTGTCCTCCAGATGTGCAGCCCTCACCTTTGAGCCAGACACCAGCCGGCCACCCAGATGGTCATACTGCAGGGCTGTAACCGCAGCCTTGTGTCCATTGAACGTGATGTTTGCCTCTCCGCTCAGCAGGCTGAAGACACGGATTGATCCATCTTCATACCCAATAGCCAAGTTCAACTCGTCTGGAGAGGGGCAGAGGCAACTGACCTCCTGCTTGAGACCCTTAAGGATAAGCACCTGCAATTTTTAGGAGACAAAAGAGTCTAATTTTGATAAATGGCAGGGCAGAGCCAGAAACTGACGCAGCAGAAAGAATATAGTCTGCTTTTCTGCTGAACTTCCAACCAAGTGATTCTGCCACCTCAGAGTTCGTTTTCCAGCCTCCTGCGCCAACCCCAGCATCATTAACCCCGTTTTACCAGGCAGACAGCAGCTAGGAGGGAAGTAATTCCTCACAATCAAACGGGAAACTGGCGCAGAACGAGGGCTGGAACTCAGGAGCCCAAATTTCTGCCCCTGCACGTTAAGTGCCCGAGAGCACGAGGCGCCGTTCGAGGGAAAAGCCCGTCCCCGAC